CCCGAGTTTGTAGCAGCGATGTCAGACAAGATATGAATGTCTTTTTGGGCTCAAATGAAAGAGCGGGTCGAGAAATGGCGTGCAGAAGTCTTTAAAGATGACAAATGTCTCTAAAGATGATGTCTGTTTTCAATTGAAAACCCGATATACTTCAATGAGGAAAAAAATAAAAATTTGGAATATCTATGCATGAGGGGCTAATTGATCGGATCTCATCATTTGCACTATAGTGGGACACATGGCGCCATCCATAATTAATATCGACTGCAAATAAAACGAATGCAAGTTCTACTCTACCGATACTGTTTGGCCGCCTGCAAGGATGGTGGACAAATGCGTATGGACAGTTTTTTTATGCACAGTCGAATTTATGCACAATTGTTCCCTTAGACTTTTCAGAAGTCTACATATGCACAGTCGGGGATATGTACTACTGTCGTGCAAGTATGAACGGAGCCCCCCCGGATAATAAACTGCATGCAGGTTAAGCAGGCTGAGGCCTTCGCCATCTCATCATCAGATGGCTGCACCCGTACCCTCGCACATTTTTGTTGAAACCTCTAGGATAAATCGCCCGTAAAATGGTAACTAATCACTGAAAATAATTAACGACACTCATTCTGCAGAAAACCCGGATAATTCCGACTGAAAAACCTCATTGTTCATGCAGTTTTCGTCGCACTAATCAGTTAAAATGCACGCTTTTTCCATGATCGCTCGTCACGCTGGAGGTTATGTTGCCAGTGGAGACGTCCTCATGGCTGTCCATCACGTATTGCTCAATTCTATTTATCATTTCATTGCTCCAAAAATTCAAAAAATCCTCCTCACTTCCGTCCACGTTAACAATCTCACATGCATGCCATTATCTTTACAATCTTTAATGCCTGCGTTATTTAGTTTCAGAACCTCCGAACGTGTAGGGTCAACTCGACCGGCATTTCTCGAGTGCTGGAACTGAACAGATCACTGTCCTATACCTCCAAAAATGACTTTCCCTTTCGAATATCGAAATGCAATCCTTCGTTGCCTCACGGGGTGCAGATATATCATGCAGTAAGTGTTTTATCCATTATCACATTATTAGAAATTCTTCAATTTTTTTAGTATTTAGGACTGCAATCCGCGAATTTTTTACGTCAACAGCCACTGAATTAGTGTTTTTTATGTATTATCCATTTGTTTCAACAATTACTTTTGCTGTAAACTGTCACCTTAATCGTACAATAAATGAGTGAAAATGTCATTATTCTTCAATTGATTCCAATTGATTATTTGAAACACCTTAATCTTATTATTGACGGAGACAATTTGTAAATTTTTTAAATCAAGAGTCATCGAATTGTTATTTTTTTCTCGTATTGTTCATTCATTTTAATGCATAAAATTTAATTTAGTGTTGATTATTTATTATTCTTTAAGAAATCATTGAAAAGAAATTGTTAACACCTTCAATATTTAAAATGTTAATGAATATACGTTTTCACGATTCAAATTTCAATCATTTTACATGACTGATGCCTTTTGCTCCATTAATCCCACATCAAACGAGTGAAAATATGATTATTCTCCAATTGATTCGACTAAAAATTCTCTTTTCAAAAGTCTGTAATTTCAAAAACTCCAATAGTCTCCCATAAAATAATTCCTTCCAATTATTGTGCACCCCAGACTCGATCGTATTCAGATCGAGCCAGAAGACCGAATTTCTTCACCCAATTCGTGGAAAACATCAAGCAAGAGATGCAAAAAAACAAAGAGATGAAAGAATCTCTAAAAAAATTTCGCGAAGAAGCTGAAAAACTGGAGCAGTCCGACGCCTTAAAATCTGCCAGACAAAAATTCCAATCGGTAGAGTCCGAGGCATCGAAAAGCTCTGAACTGTTGAAGGGAAAACTCGAGGGACTGAAGGAGAAAGTGCAGGAGGTGATTGATGAGGCAGGTAAAACAGAATTGGGTAGGAAGGCAGGTCAGCTCGGTGAGGAGATCTCCAAGTCAGCGAAAGGTGCCGCTGAGAGCATCTCAGAGAAGAGTCAGGCTCTGGGGAAGAGCAGTGCTTTCCAGACAATTTCACAGACTGCAGAGGTCGTCAGGAAGGAACTGGATAATCATGGGATTCAGGGGCGTGTCTATGTGCCACTGAAGAAGTTGAGGAAACGAAAGGAGATATTGGAGACTGAGGAGAAGACTGTGGAGGCTAATACTGAGGCGACTGGCGTTGAGTTGCATAAAGACTCGAAGTTCTATCAGTCATGGCAGAATTTCAAGGTATGCCATCGAATTATTTAGCGTAAAAATTTGTAAATAAATAAAAATGAAGCAATTGCACCGTAGAACGAATAAAAACGAATTATAAATGTTTTTCACAGGATCACAATCCATACGTCAACAAAGTCCTCGATTGGAAAATAAAATACGAAGAGTCTGACAACCCAGTGATCAGAGCATCGAGGCTACTAACAGACAAAGTGACAGACATCATGGGAGGACTTTTTCAGAAAACAGAGCTCTCAGAAACCCTTACGGAAATATGCAAACTAGACCCTAGTTTCGATAAAGTTAAATTTCTTAAAGACTGCGAAACTGATATTATACCGAATATCCTGGAGGCCATGATCAGGGGGGAATTGGAGATTTTGAAGGACTGGTGTCATGAGGCACCTTACAATCTCATTGCAACCCCACTCACGCAGGCGAAGAAGCTGGGATTTTATTTGGACAATAAAATTTTAGGTATATTTTTCATTGCATTATTTCATTCATTTTTATTTCTTTAATTTGAAGGATTTTTCTTGAATCATTCCTACGATATCTTATTTTCATTATTTTATTTATGGAAAAAACCCTATTAAAGTTTAAAATTGAATTTATTTTTTTCAAAAAAATTAATAATTTAATCTTTTCATTGAATTTAAATATGAAATCAATTTTCAGGATTAAAAAAATTACGCATAATTCCCATTTTATCTTTATCTTGTTGAATCTAGAAATAAATTCATCAAACTGTTATTTTTTTCCAGACATCGACAACGTTGATTTAGTAATGGGCAAAGTAATGGAGCAAGGACCAGTCCTCGTAATAAGTTTTCAGTCCCAACAAATAATGTGTGTGAGAGACTCAAAGAACAAAGTAGTAGAGGGTGATCCCGAGAAAGTGATGAGGGTTAATTACGTTTGGGTATTGTGTCGTGATCCCAGTGAATTGAATCCACAATCAGCGTGGCGTTTGCTAGAACTGAGTGCAAGTAGTTCCGAGCAATTTGTCTAGCACAAATCACGTTATTTTATCGTTCAAACCAGGAGTGTTGTATCAATACTACTTTGTAAATTATTGATCTATTAGTGGTGTTACGAGGGCAGTATGACGTGTCGTGGGAGAGAACTGTCTGAGCATCTTGCCATGTTCTGGTGAAAAATGCACGAGTCGTTACACTTGTGTTAGTCTCAATGATCAGTCTATTTTCGTTCACACGAGAGAAACCATCGATTCGAGAAATTGTCGATGCGATAACTCGATAATTTTATCAAGCGCATGTTCAAGACTTCTCTCAATTCACTCGAAATTGTGGTTTATTCGGAATAATGACGAGAGGGGAGAGATATATAAATGATATAAGTTCTGAAAATGAAAAATTTGTGCAAAAATGTTCAACTGTACTTCCTCTGTATATATGTGAGAATGATTGATTAAATTTATCGATTTAGGATAAATAATTTTCCTATCGTCAATAAAAATAGAGATAAAGAAATGCAACTGATACTACAAAAATTATTACTGAAATCGAATTCATAAAATTCGTCCCAAAATGAGGAAATCTTTAAATATTCGACTACATCAGTCAATTTCTCTGCGAAAATGTGAATTGGCTGAAGGCCTGTCGCATTCCCGAGCTTAAAAACTTCTCCGAAAATCAAAAAAATTGAAATTTCACTTTATTAATCTCCAGATATTGCCCATCAAAGTTCCTATCATTTGGAATTGTTTTCATTTGAAGCCTAAATATTCCAAAATATCTAGAACTCCAATGAAGATAACAAAACTAATACTACAAAAATTATTAACGAAATCGATTTTTTTAAAACCCGAAAATGATAACCTCACATTGAGCTCAATTTTAAAAATCGTCTAAACATCCCGCCACTTACAGCGGCACCTACATCATGCACTTACCCCCTCCCCAGCCGCTGTTCATGATCCCGGGCGCCACGAGACTCCGCTGGAGAGACCGTTACAAACCGTCCGCACACGTCCCCAGCGGCGTTCGACTCCTGCGAGAGCGTGTCTCGTACTCCCAGTTCCGTAACAACAAAGGACCGACTGGTGCCTCCTCCCCCACAATCACCACCCCAAAAAGTCCCAAAAACAGTCCCCAAGAGCAACCACTTCACAAACGATAGCGTCGCGATGGCCGAGAAAGAATCACAAGTCCCCGAGCAGAAGCCCGACAACACGTTGCCCCTGCGAGCAGCTCTGTCCCACGTTTTCGAGAACATTGGGGATTCTGTAAGGTAAGATCACTAAATATCCCCCCCGCTTCCCCCCCACACGACGCCAAAATCTCGAAAAATTCGGTGCAGTTGAAACAAGCGCTTTGTTTACGCGATTGCCCTTCACACCACACGTCCCCACGATTATCATCAACCCAAATATTTCGAAGCTTCCTCGTTATACCCGAGATGACGCGAACGAGGCTGAATAAACCATTTCTTTGTTTAGGGTGAACAGGCCAATTGGTGGACGGTTAAGGGGAAACGAAACTCCTATGTTTATATCAACTTTTAGAATTGTTTTTCTCTGCAATTATTGTTTTTTATTCACGAAACTACTTCATTGAGTCGAGAATGCAATGATCGGGTCGATAAAGCAGTTTCATAAATCAAAATTAATAATTGTAGTAGAAATCTCTCGTATAGAATTTGATATAGACAAACGGGGTTCGTCGTCTCTTAAGAGAATTCGAAATTAGCATTTTAATTGGAATCGGCAAACAGTTGGCTGGGCCATTTTTTTTTGTTTACTAAATGTCGATGAATAGAAAAAATGATTGATGAAAGGTGAAGTGATCAGTACAGTTTTCATTTTATTTGTAATATTCAAGGCAAGTTGAAATCGTCCGGAAACTAACCCCGTCCAGAAATGACCTGTTTACTCTACTTGCTCTCTATTTAGGCGTCTCTTTGTCTCGTTCGTATGCGTTCGCTCACGCTTCACCGAAATTCTCAGTCCTTTATTTATTTTTTTTTCCCATTCCGTCCTCTGTAACGCTCGGTCAAGTTTTCGGCCCATTGTGCACGAAGCCTTCAAAAGGGACACGCGAGAACCTTTTTTCGAGAATCTGTTTCTCAACAATCTTTTGACCGCTATCCGCGGGGACAAAGACATTCCGTTGCCATGCGCCTCGTGTGAAGATTTTTCGGCCTCCAGGGACATTTTGATTTCAGTATTTTCATCGTTAATATTTTGGTAGTAAGGATTAATTTAGCTCACTACGGGGGACTCCTCTCATTTCACATCGAAAGATTATCAAACGGGTTTCGATGCTGATCCGTTACTTTGGTGACCGGAAATCCAATATCCGCGTGATTTTTTTTTCTGACTCAATCGTAGCGTCTCCTTCCCACGCAGGGCCCAATTGATTTACTATCGTGTGTTTACTGCCGGCATCTAGTCAACGGTAAATAGTGTGACAATGGAGATGATTTTACTGATGAGATTTCTGTAACAACGACGTACTTGGCGATTTTTTTCGTTTTTTTTTTCTTTTTATCATCGTATCATTGAAATTTTCTTAAATCGTTTGAAATTATTGAAAAGATCCGTTTTAGGAGTTCATTTGGACATCCACCCATCAATTTTTAAGGAATAAAACTCCTTTGTGTTCTTACTCAGGCCTGGACACTTGCAACTTTGTGTTTCTTTATCTTCAAATTGCACCTGTCCCGGCCTGACCGCGAGCACGCTATCATCGAGATGTCAAACAAAACGGTTGAGTATAACCAGAAATAAACTGAAGATATTGAGAATATTCTGAGGAAATGCCTCACGGGTGGGGAACGACATAAAAATCACGTTCGATATCTTGCCTGCATGAAATTCAATCCGTTGTTTATGAAGGCATTACTTGAATTTCTCTGAAGGACCCGATAAAGTTTCCCCTTGCTATGCATTACCGAGAGAACAGTCTCGTTTATGAATTTGAATCCAGTCTTTCCGATAATTTATTGAGTGTCCGGGGCTTTTCTCCAGCGAGAAGCAGTTTGCCGAGTGCCAAAGTTTCCTCAGATCCAAGCTCTCAGAGTCAAAGTTCAATTCCACAATTCATAAGCTTCATGAAAAGATCGGGAAGGACCTTCTGGACAGGATGAATGAGGAATTGGATCGTATGATGACTGAGGAGAGTTTGACCGATGGCCTGGGGAAACTCAAACAGCTGCTCATGGAAACACCCTACAGTCCTGGGGAAATTGCGTGGTATGTGTTCATGGCCTCATTAAGGTGTTTCATGTGGAAAGTTCAAATTTTCCCTGATTAATCACCCCTCAGATGGCAATGAAACACTCGGAAGCGATAGACATGTCGAAATAAAAAAATTTCACTTTCACTTCAAATTTAATGAGAAAGTCAACTCAAATTTCATGTCAATTTATTTCACGAAATGAATGTTAATTCGTCAATTATTCAGCTGGGAAATTTTTCGAAATGCGGAAAACTAGCTCTTCATGAGCTTCAAATTATTCGATATCAAAAATTAAAATCTGTTCATTTTTAAGAATTTTTTCCGCTAACTTGTAAAATAGTTGGCACCAGCACTTTTCTGAAAAATGCATGCAAATGCACCTTTTAATCGAAAAAAATGAGTTTTCTTTCAAAAATTTGTTTGGAACGTGAAGTAACAAAATTTTTAAAATATTTGTGATTTTAAATAAACATCCCTAAACATCGATCCAAGATTATGTGAAATTAGTGAAATTATATTTTTCCATAGGAGACCACCTGGAGACGTTGCAGAGCACCTCAGAACCTTCGACGTCTCCAAAATCGACGAAGAAACCGACAGTTTAACGAAATTAGTGGACGATTTGGAGGACGAGAACAATCATCTCGTGAAAACCCTCTCCAAAAAGCGACAGACGGCCCTCACACTCGACAAAAAAATCCGCAAATCAACGACAATAGGTGTGAACAGTATTGCCAAACAGCAGAAAACAAGAGACAAAATCCAGAAATACGTGGATCAACTCGAGGAACTACTGACTGACCACCATTAGCTCATAAATCCCTTCGATATGTTCATACGCTTATTGACTACAAGAATGTATACTATACATAATGTTTATGTGACGATAGTGATTTCGATAAAGTCTGCTAATGACTGATATAATTTATACTTGAGATATGTAACTAGTCAGTCTTTATTATTCTCAACGCCCGCTCTTCCATTTTATGCTTATTTTCATAATAATGAACACGTAATTATTCTGAAGACATTAGAATTGATTTTTCATTTCATTAAAATTATTTATAAATTTCAGAATTTATAAATAATAAATTATTCATATTTTTTTAGTTGTTTACCTTCATTACGATGAACGTTTAATTATTTTGAAGATATCAGGATTAATTTGCCATTTCATTGAAATTGTGCCTCAACTCAACGAAAATAACTGACATAATTTACACTTCAGATAATTAACGAATCAATTTAATTGATTCAAAGACATTTCGTGGAAAATTCTCCTCAATTCAGCCCACATTTCTTTCCAAGTAATTCCTTCTGCAACAAATCCCTGAGGTTCTTCAACTCACCAATCTTCCGGAGCAGCTCATCAGTGAGATTCCCCTGCACATCCTCAGTCTCCGTCACCCCCAATCTCCCAAACTTCCCCTTCATCATCTCCACTCGTCCCTCACACTCTCGAAATTTAACTTCATTACATTTAATCACATGAAGCGCCTTCTCCTGCAGCATCTTCACCTGAGCAATGGATTTCTCCACCATCAACAGCTCCTTCTCCCTCTTCCCAACCTCACATTTGTGATGAACAATCTCTTCTTCTAACTGTGAAATCATCCTCTGAATTTTCTCAACAGCTCCACTCATTTTAATTCACTTCTTAGATATTTCTTTTATTCCTAAATTTTTGAAACTCAACTGACAAAGGGGCAGTCCCAGATCTGAACCATCTGAACAAGACGAGCAGATATTTTTGTAAAGCGGAAACGGAACCCCTGTCTATAAATTTTTAGAAGTGTTTTCTCCTACAATTATGACTTTAAGATATCTATAAAATTACTTTATCGAATCGATTTTTTTTTTCATTCAATATATTCTTTAATAAAAGCGAGAAGAAAACAAAATATTTAAAAAAAATTTCCTGTGTAATGAGAAAAACTATAGATTTTTTTAATTACCGGTGTTTTTTCCAGAAAAATCGAATTCACACCATCGGCGTTTTTAAAAACATCGCCCATCCCTACTCCGATTTCTAAATCTACTTATCATCTGTGTTCAGATGTTTGTGATCTAGATAAACCCCTTCCTGAAAAAAATAACGACCCCTCTGGCAAGTGGCGCCTCGTTTCCCGCTCACACCTTCAGTGGCTGCTGATTGGCCAAGCCCCACCAATCGCCTAGCGCAAATACCAGCAAGTTGACGGCGTCGCCGCTAGATGACTTTACCATGACCATAGACTTTCAACGCATTTAGCGGTGCGCCATTGCGACGTGATTGCTGTCCCCCCAGTTTTTCGGTGTTTTTTGTGACTGAGGATTGATCCAGTGTAGCCCAGTTCTTCATCAATCACCTCATTCGAGTAAGTAATCACAAAAAAATCATCCAAAAGCCCCCGAAATCGTGAAAACTGCGGCGCAACACATCGCGAATGAATCGGCCAAAACCGTGGAAAATACTTCTATTTCTTCCTCTTTTTTTCCCCCTCCCGAGGGGTTAGTTCTCTCTAGCCCTCTTCCGTGCGCGTGGTACAGGCATTCATACTCTATATTGACGCTTGCTCCAACGCTATTTCCCCATAATTGATTGGTAAACTCGTTATCCACTATGTTGAAGTGAAAACGAACTCCAAAGTTTATGATTGAGAAATGCTCGGGAGTTGAATTGATTGAATGCTGTATTGAACTATCCGGGGGAGGTTAGTTCGGGCTCTTATCCATAATTTGTCGGTCATAGCTTTGGAGCCCCTGGCAGGGGTTCTCCCCCGCCTGCTGTACGTGTGGAAAACGACGCTATTCGACGCTGTCGTTTGACGCGTTATCGAACTGATAACGCTTAGCCCATTCCGCCTCGAGTTTCCATTGATGCTAAATCCGATAGAACGAATTAACGAGCAGGATTACCAATGCGAGATTGACTTTACTTCTGGGGAATTATCTTTTTCATGAAACCATGCTGGTAATCAATAGTCGGGGATCATGTTGGGAGTTTGGGGATGTTTATGCAAAATCCCAAAGACTCCAAGAATTTTTTATTTTTTTTCTGATGGGCAGAGTCTTTTCTTTGTGTTCATAAAAATTCTAATTCGCCAACCGGATTTGATTACTTAGAAATAAAATAGATAATATGCACTAAATGCAGGGTTCAGTAGTTTTTATGGGACTTGGAGTTGTAAATATCTGAATTATTTGACTGGATACTCCGGATTATTCTTTGAACATTGGATCCAGATTTTTTTAAATTTTTGTTTTCATTTTTGGCGTCTTCCAGTAGATGAATTGTCAATTTAAAAATAAATCCTATAAGAGAGATTATTTATTTATTTCTTATTATACGAGAATTTTTTTGTATTGAGTTTGGGATTTTCCATTTATGCAAAATCTGATGGAACGAATTAACGAGGAGGATTACCAATGGGGATTGACTTTATTTCTGGGGGATTATCTTTTTCACGAACTATGCTGGTAATCAATACTACCAGGATCATGTTGAGAGAGTTTAAGGATGTTTATCCAAAATCCCAAACACTCGAAGAATTTAGTTTTTTTTCAACTGATAGGGTTATCTCTTTGATGAAAATTTCTGTCCGTCATATGGAATTGATTATTCAGAAATAAAATAGATAATATGCACCAAATACATGCGTCAGCAGGAGTTTATATGGGGCTTGAAATTTTAAATATCTGGATTATCGGACTGGACACTCCGGATTATTGCTTGACCATTGGTTTCTCTATATTTTTTTTGGTTTTCATTTTGGGAGGATCCAGTAGACAAATTATCAGTTTGAAAATAAATGTTATAAAAGCTTGTGTATAACTGCTGCAACTAATTTTTCTTAATTATTCAGAAAAGGGATAAATATCCTCAATTATCTGGTGGATTACTTTTGTATTGAATTTTTAAACGAAAAAAGTTAAAAATGATATTTTATTCCCATTCATGTACAGGACTGCAGGATTAGTTGACTTTACGTGAACAGGAATCTTTTCGTACAAAAGCATTTGGATGAATATTTTTTTTCTATTCAACACGGGGCTTTTTAAATTTTTATCTCACATCAAGGCACGATGGATAAACACATTATAATGAACGCACTCGACACCTTAAAATGAAAAAATCAAATATAATAGGAATACATTGATTTTTAAGAAATTCCCCGGAATCCAAGAGAAATTATAAAATTTCCACGAGAAACTTGTCTCTAAAATTTTGAATTCTCTTCTAAATTCCGATGTATTCGGAGAAAACTAAAAGATTCTCAAGTGAAATCAACGTCGATCGCTATTGAATCAATTGAGAAATTTATTCAATTCCCTTGATAATCAGTCAAAATTCACATAAACAAGTGATCACGACTGGATAATAAAATATAATTACGGTTGTTAGCAACTCACTGATTATTCTAATGGGGTAACACGTCTCCGTCTTCAATTACCTCCATAATCCCATGAATCTATCGAAAAAGTTGTTTTCAAGTTTCTCCGATCAACCTCGATGTCTGATGAAATTCGGAGCACAGCACCGGCCGGAAAATCTATTTTATTAATCTCCTTTCCCATCGCCAGAACCCAATGAAAGTGCTCAGACGAAAATAAACACGATGTATATACCTGCGTAAAGTGATTATATATCTCCGGATCCTGAAATTTGAACTTTCAAAGAAATTCGCATGAGATTGTAAGTGAAGCTTTGATTGGAAAGTCGAGATTGAAGTTCTGGTTTCGATGATCATTTCATGCATTCATTAGACTGCAATTGCGTTTATTTTCCTCAAACTCTCTCTAATTGAACAAATTATTCCATTTTGATAAATTAATTTCGCTGAAAAATTGAGGACGATTGGCGTGAAATTGAAATTGAATCATTTACTGACAATTAGAGAATAAAATTGTGCATGTGGAGATGATTTTATGCATAAATTAGTGAGGATGAGATCAATTGAGTTGTTTATTTTCAAATTGTTTCTGCCTAAACAAATTAAAACTTCCATACAATTGAGGAAAATTGGGGCAAAAGCATGAATTTTGTAGTGAAAACGATTTAATTGAGGTCAACTTTTTAAAATTGTCTGTTATTAGACAAATTACCTCAAAAATTGAAGACAACGAAATCGTAGTTGAATCATTGATTAAAAATAAAGGATTGAATTTCTGATGGATTCAATTGAACTTAACTCCTCCCGATTGTCTGCGATCAAAAAAATTACACCATCTACACAATTTATTTTCCTAAAATGCATGGAAAGCCGAACCCTAGCCCAGCAAGTCCTGTAATTGGAGCAACAAGTGTTGAATAGTTATATTGAGGTGTGAGCTCCATCCCCTGGCCTCCAGATCCCTCAGTAGATTTGTACACTTTTCACTATTGCCAATCGGTCAACAATTTCTTCAGCCAATAGCAAGAATTATCTATTGGTAGTTGACCAACTCCAATGCCCTCTCCCATGACAATTATTACCAATTCGACAAATTGTATAATTACAGCCTATCGATGCGCAGCCGAGGCTCCAAAGGCCAAAATTGGCTCGATTATTCGCCAACTCCATTGGCTATTACCCCTCCCGTTATCTTTTTCTTACCTCTCTTTTTCATATGCCGATTCCAGCGTTATTCCACGGTTTCGTGTAGCGACAGCACAACAAAGCGTTGCCACGACAACTGACCGTCACGCGGTTGCCATCACAAAACTTTGAACTTGTGCGAATGCAAAAGCATTGTACCCACGCGGCTTGCGTTCTGTTTCCTTTTTTTCTTTTGTTCTCGAGTAGCTAAAACTTCATATATACATGCACACGCCTATTCAAGTATTCCGTTGCGTACATTCAAATGGACAGATGTGGAGTATTTCTTATAAAGAGGGGAAAATCTGCTGAAAATTTCTCTTTCGCGGGAATTTTAGTAATTTTTTTGCAAAAAATTTTGGCAAAAAAATGATATTTCAATGACAGTTAACTAGTAGCTTTCAGGAGAAAGGAATTAACTAATAAATTCAATTCCAGATGAAAAAAGTTATAAAATTTCAAATTTCAGTGAAAATTCAATTGAATTTGTAATTTTTCAGAGGGAATTTTTATTTTTTTGAATTTTCATTTGAACTGAAATTTCCTGTTTTCATAGATTTTTCCATAAAATTTTGAATTTTTTATAATGAAAATTTCTTGAAATTTTAGGGCAACTTTAATTTAATAAAAATTTCCAAAATGATATCAGTCAAAAATTCGAATATATATTGCGTAAAAATTACAACATTCTGGCGAATTTCTCTCTTTTCACTGAAGTCGTTGCACTCTCGACTAGATTTCTCTTTAAAAATCCTGGAATTTCGCGAATACTAAAATACCAGACTGTCATCATTATTAAATAAATTTTGTCATGAAATAGATGAATTTCAGTCGATGAATCTCAAACAAGCAGACCTCCCCGTTTTTTAAACAAAAAAATAAATAATTTAATTTCTCCCACTTGGAGACCCTCACACGATCACAAAATTGTGAAACAACCAGTGAGCAAAACCGAGCTCTTCTTGCCCACCTGACACCTCGGCAAATGCATCAACACCTCTGCTAATTCCTCTTCCAATTTTTCAATCTCTCCGCCTCAATTATTACAGCAATTGCAATATTTATGATCCCACCGACAACCGCATAAATAGTTTTTTCACCGTACGATACGAGTGGGCATATATTAATGTGAAAGACATCAAATAGATCCTGAGGATCGTCCAAGGTCGTGCTACACCCGTTGTAGAATCATTAATGCATTATTGCACAAGGTAAAGTTGCAACAGCTGGTGCAGCTCTCATTTGCTCCATTCCTCCGTGAAATGTTGCCACTTATAGTATCCTTCTGTTTTTCAATCGCCAGTATTTCAATTCAGCCAAACGTTTTTTTTTTTTTTTTTTTTACCTAAACAGGAATTTCGATAATTTACGTTCATCCACGTACAATCCTTGACGCACGAGCCGGCAAGTTGCCTTCTGTAAACCCGTGGCATGCAGTCTCAGTCGTATTGTACACACGTACTCACGTGATGAACGAATGAGACTGTGTGACTTACCGTGTTGAATACGTATACTTGTTTACCGTAGGTGCACCTGCCTGAAAATTGATCTACGAGTTGCGTATACTAGTTACTGTAGCTCGTGCTGCTGCGAGCCAATAGGTGTGTAACCGCATTGCTCTTTGTTTTCACTAGGTAAGAATTAGTATTTTATTGCGTTGAATCGCTGGTAGAGAAGAATTTACTGCGCGACGGATTTATAGAGTCGGATTAAATAGATTTTCTGAGCGGGGAGAGAGGGAAAAAGAAACCGTTCTGCAGAATAAAATTCAATGATTTTTTTTCAGATTTTAAAATGAAACCTGATTTGTCCCAATTGATCAGTTGGTCAGGAGACGATTTAACGAGATCCCTTTTACCTCACCTCCCGCTAACAATAGCAAATGCTGTGTAAAATGATAATTGTATCGTTTAATTAATTGAAGTCTCGTGTTGCTCTCGTTAAATCCGAACATTTTGGTGATTAATCCCGTTGATTATGAAATTTTCTTGGAGATCTTTACGAGCGTCCATGTACCTCCCAGATTAATGGGGGTAATGCTCGTAAAAAAATATCGATCAATGTTACAATGGTAGAAGAGTCATTGCACTCGGAGTAATGATTTTTCTCCGATTCATTTCACTCTTTTCCCATTCCGATATGGGAACGACTCTCCAATGCTGAGTACAAATGCCTTCCTGTTCTTTCCACCGCGGTTTTTCTGGCCAGAAAAGAAAGAATCCGTTGGGTCATCGACACCTGAGTTAAAAATAGACAGCAGAAGGAAAAAAAATACTAGGAGAAAATATGAAAATGTTGGAAACAAAGAAAATGAGCAATGCTGAAGGTTGATGTACATATGTTTCGAGTCGAGGGTTTGAGCGAAGGGGGATTTTTGATATCGGTGGGATATTAGGGGGTGAGATAGCTGTCCATTACTGTTATTATTGTAAACTGTATGGAAGTTTCCCAGAGTCCCTTTCTCTCCAGTCTTCACATTTCCCTCTTGCAAGGGAAATATAATGAGACCCTTCTCGGTGCGCCACAGACGGTGGAAGATAGATCCGTTTTACCCTGAATTATTGAGAATGGCGTGCCGAGCGAGCCCAAGACAGCGTCAAATGTTGGAGGAGTAGTGTCGCATTGGCGACAGCTAGAGGTCTCCCAGGAGAACATGGCCCTCCAACTGTCTACCCCCCTTTTTACTCATATATCGAACGAAGTTTACAACGAAACTTCAGTCATTACAAACAATCGAAACTCATCGTAAAGCGACTTTTTCATTCTTCGTTCCAAGGCCATTCATGATTATTCATTTTAATTCGACGAAAGGTATGACGCATGTCGTCGAAAACACCGGAGTGCAATATCGATTGAGACCCGTCGAAATGTGAACGCAATTAATTTTAAAGCCACTCCTCAGTCAGAACACTAGACATTTGTTTCTAAACTCGGTCGGGTTGGGCCTATTTGAGCCTTGTTATGTGTGTCGGTAATTTCCCGACGTGGAATAAGTTAGAAGACAATGCGGCCCAGGGCAGACTAGCGGCGCCAATTCTTACCGCTCGACAATTATCTCCCAATTTTTTCCCACTATTTTTATTCCCTTCGACAGTAAGAAAATGACAAGAGGATTCGAGAACCGAATAAAATAATTCCAGGGAATTGAATTCAGAAATAAAATTTAATATGCAAAGTGAGGGAAAATTATTTGAAAAAAAAAAAAAAAAATGTAGCAGATACTCCCTGACAAGTAGTCGAGGGATTGCTTCAGGTGGTCATCAAATATGCTCGGACAGATGCGTCGTCCCCACAGTAGTTTGCCATTCTTCCCGCGGACTATGCACCACCCCTCGGTGTATACCCTCTTTCAGGTCTTACATATTCCCTCAGTTAACCTACCTCGCAACCTCCCCCCCCCCCGACTTCTCTTCACTGCAATTCGTGTCCTTCTTCTTCGACATCACGCGGGTCACACGTAATTACAGAGGGAAAACCCCACGATTCAACTCCCACTGAAAGTTTTCTCTTTTTTTTTTTTTTCTTTCTTTCTGCCAACCCTCACTCACACGACTGGCATGGGTATAGCACTCCCGCTGGAGTTTCAGGGCATTGGACAAGGGCTTTGTTCTTTTTCTCTTTCCATTGCATTGGCCATCACTCGTCTCCACTTGTCCCTTGTCAATCCTCACTTTCACAGATGCATTCACATTTTTTTTTATCACCACCCTTTGTTTTCCACGCATTCTCGATATTTCTTTATTTAAAATTTTTCCGTGGAGACTAGAAAGTGCGGGTATCGCTTCACCTTTCAACTTACATAGGTGGTGTATAGAACCTCTGTCCACTCAGTGGGTACATTAATTATGTAGGAAAAGCCCCGAGCTGATCGATCGATAGTCGAATGTTAAAAGATTGATGGATCCCCCCACGATTTCCAGCGACGAATATGTACCCCTCGACGATCGATTCCGCGGTGAAGGCGGTGGCAAGATGTTTCCTGGTAACTTCACAGCGCAAATGAAAATTCATCCGCATAATTGTGACGATGATAATTCAACTCAGGGGATTTTTGGGGGCTCTTGGGTCAAACAATCGTGCGAGCAAACTCTCTCAAAATGTGAAAGAGTCTGCACATGACTTTAAAATATTTGTACAGCCCTAGATGCCTCATGGCAGAATTCCATATTCTATTGCCGGGAAATATTCATATATTTATTACCATCCCATTGTGCATCTTAGTCCCTTAGATTTTCTCCATAGCGAATGATGCTGACGGTGAGCCGGTTCTTTCCAATGAAAAATTCAACGTTGCGCCCCGTTTATATCCGCGGGGGCTGCAATAGGCCTCTGTCGTGTACATAATATACACCGCCCGAAACAGCAAAAGGGAGTTTGCCATGAGCGAGAGAAAACTATAAACCGCAAAGACGGCGGAGTATAACTAAACGCTGAAAGAAAGCGAATGGAATCTTCTCACGGATAAGCACCATTGCATGGGTTGGGGGAGAATAAGAAGAAGGACCTCAAGCCAAACGACATTGCTGAGTACATGGCTTTTATCCTTTCTCTTTCTTTTTTTTATTTTAAAAACCGCGTGCCACACACCATCTACCTTGAACCATCCCGCGTCGGTTCGTCTCCGGAGACCATACCTTGGTGGGCCCCTGTGATTCTCGTTCATTCACCCCCCTGCTCCTTGCATCCATTCATCGTAGCGTCCCTTGCAATCCCTTTCCCGATAGTTTCATTTCATGTCATTCTAGACATCTTCACCTTAAAAAAATTGACGAGTTTGCAGATTCATCGGGTTTTTTTATTGATTAGATTTCATTTACAGCTCCAGTGTTTGACTGTTTTCTTGTGAACGTCGTATGAGAAATTAATCAGAGGATTGATCCTGATTGGATGGTTAGGACTTTCATTTTTAAAATCAAACACTGAACCTTTCACAAGTGAATCTACAGATTAATGATATGAGAGACTTGGGAAATTCAACAATTTAGATTGGCTTGACCCTCGCCGACTGGTCAAATCTCCAATGCATCGAACTCGGAACCTTTCGCATATGAATCAATCGCCAAACCTAAGAAATTCTCCTAGACTTCCAAAGAATCAATGCATCCCATTAATAAAATTCATGATTTTGTCATCAATCGGCTCGGTTTTTCCTTTAAAAAAATTTAATTTCAACCAGACTATTGCAACAATACCCATCGATTCCCCCCAACATCTACAAGCTGTTACAGGTGCATATACTAATAGTAAGGGTAGCAGTGCAATAGTAGATAGGGAAGGGCAAGTAGAACTTACTCCAATAATATCGATCGAGTAGATTGTTGATGCGAATGGTAACCAGGGGTGATGCCCAACGCTTCGGCCAATCAAAAACATAGCGGTGGCCACACTCCACCAATGGACAAACCCTTAGCCTGCTTGTATTTTGATTGGGCGATTCAAGGGATAAGAGCACCAGTTCGAGGCCATAGAGAATCATACACGGTTCGTAGATCACAACAAGTGGAACAACCAAACGTATCACCACCGTGACTTCTCCATACGTTTGATGTCTTCGTCATATAAATTTATGACAGTCCTCGCAACTGTCTACGTTACTCTTTGCATATCGGCTTATCGATGAAGTTGACTCTTGTGATCTTCGATAATACCTTGGAATATTTTCGTGTAAGAGAATATACTTTCTTGACACTCAGCATTTCAATTTTGCACCGCTTTCTGCAATTTTTTAACGGCAAAAGGTATGAGAGATAGTGAAACTAGGCGTCCGGTTGTTGAAGGTTCGTCACAATTCCCTACTCGGTTTTAGGTTTTAGTATTCACCTCGCAATTTGAAAAAACCAACGAATGCGATAAAAAGATGAGAAAATAACGCCCGGGGTTTACCGCTTAACTGTCATCTTTATAGTGCGTAGCCACAGACCGGCTAATGTATTCTGCTTTTGTCTCTAGAAAAACGAACTCGACGAGTGAAAGGAATGAAGATTCTTTGTGCATTGTTCGTTTCACATTGGCTCTATTATTCCAAAGAAATATTTTCAATTCCAAGTGATGCCATGAATAAAATTCAATCCGGAAATGCAAATTTTCGTTGAGAAATACTCATCAGGGAAAGTGATTTATCTAATAGATATGATTTTATCGTTTGCCCACAGGCTGACAGGCTGACTATCACCAGTAATTCTCAACAACTGGAGATCTGCAGCTGAGAAGATTGCCGAACGAGACGAGCTGTGTGAGGAGATTGTGACAGAACTTTCATCTAAAATCGGTAAGTTTATGTGCATAAATTCCAACTTAATTTCCACATCACCACTTTTTTCTTGTATTCCTCTTCCTCGTAGATGAAAGATAGGATATGCTTCCATTCACACGGAATTCCCGTCATGCATCCAGCCGTGTATGCATCGGGTATATGTATTTATAGAGCACGAATAGATACCTCTCACTTGTGTGAATCCTCGTAAGATTAACGATCGAGGCGAGGTATTGTTACCCCGTGATGTCTCGATATTCCTCGCGATTTATTTACAGTTGTGTGTCAGTTTTGTTTCCCCTGCATTCACAATTCTCTTTTCTTTTTCACGAATGCCCGAGGAAATAATACTGGATGCTAGGCTGCTGTCAGTGATTAGTCTTCCACCTGAACTTTAAATGAAAATCATAGACTGTTAGAAATTTACTATGCAGTACCGGGGGATAATTGAAACTAATGAGTTTCGTTGAAAAGTTATAATGACAGGATCGTAAAATTTTCAGTAGTAAAAAGGTGCATACCATCTGCTCCCTGCATAATGAATATTTCCCTTCGTCAATCACGTTAATTGGGAATTTTTCTTTGAGGATTATTTTTATTGTGTATTGACGACAAAATTATTAATATTCATATTAGTCTGCATGTTACGTTTCACGTTTTCTTGTTCTAAGAGTCATTTATTCTTTTCTGATGGTAATTCTATTGGCTTTTTTGTGAGCCGAAGATTTTTAACTGTCGAAAATTGAAAGCAACTACGTCAATCCCGAGACCCTCGTGTCGCTGGCATTAAAAGACTACATTATTTAATATTTTTAGCTGAAATTCCCAGTACCGTTCTTGGATTTTTTAAAATCTTTTCGTTCCACTGAAATTTCCAGTAATTTCGCTGGAAACTGCAGAAATTAGTCTAATTATTCCATAAAAATTTATATAAATCATAAAAATTCAGGTGAATATTTTCGCAAATTATCAATGAATTAGAAATGCCGCATAATTTGGGAATTCTCGTCTTCAAGAATTTTGAGTGTCATGGAATTTCCACTAAAATATTAAATTCAATCAATGTTTTTAATTATCCTTGAAATTTCCAATTTATTTTCCACCACTACGAACCCTCAACTCCTGCATAACAAAGTTCTCCACTCAATACTGTCATTCGTGACATGAAACGGATAGTAACGATGAAATGAATCCTTCCCCAGGAAATACCTTCATCAAATATCACGAGAGTAACCCCTGAAAATACATCAAAACGCTCCCTTCCCATAATATGTAATACCCTCTCGCATCTCCCGAGAGACACAACAAACCAAAAGAATAAAAAAAAAAAAAGGAAAACCGCGTGCAAGAAATGAAATGGAAAGAAGGTTGAAGTTGAAAAGGGTGAAATAAATGGGGTCGTGTTGAAAATGTCGAGTGGCGTCTGTGCGCAGGCGCGTTGACGCAACAATAGGGGGTGAAATTCCACGAAGCGGTTCAGTATCCACCCGACCATCAGCTGATCAATATGCTCGTTGGCACGAGACGTACAAAAATTCGCGTATGTCACGCACGTTATGCATTTCTGTGAGAATAACCGATAAAATAAGCCAATAAAATAACCACTGTGATAATTGAACATTCAATATTTTTAATTTTTCGTGAAGTACTAGTGCCTGAATCCGGGATCTCCAGCATTTTCTCGCTAGTAAAATCCAGGAGAAGTCGACTCGAGGTAAATAGTCTCTCATATTATGATAGGAATGGAAGAATAAACACATTAGAGGATGAGAATAAATACCGGTGTGGGTTAAAATGGTATGAAAACACGAGAGACAGAGCAAATATGAAAGAAAGCATCGGCGAATTCATTCGCTCGGCGATTTGCAAACAGAGGGAACGTGCGTGCACGCTTGGATTCACCTCTGGTTGTAATATACATTTCCCCTCTCTCTACATCTCCAACATTTCAACTTGTAGATATCTCATTGCCCCTTCTACGCAAGAGCGTTTCACGATAGTTTGTGGAAAAAGATGGTGGGAGGAGGGAACAGTAGAATGCGTGTACGTGCACACGAGTTTCAATGTATGGGATACCTTCGCTTTTTACTGGAATGAAGGCGAGGTTCTGCTCTGTTCTGTTGGCAAAGTGACTACGTCGTGGCGTACAGCGACCGCGACTCGAGTCAAGTTCAGTTCTCCTGCAGGTGCTATTTTACATCGCGTGTGTAGCACATTTTTTTTTCCCCTCCGATTTTTACAACATTTTTGCGCATTGATCGCTAGTATTTTTTGGATAATTGTCGAGGCGAGGCAGAGGATAATGTGAGTTGTTTATTTGAATATGAGATATTTTACTCTTTCGGTTGGAAAATTAAACGATGGGGAGTTGGTAATATATTGATGCTGGGGAAGTGTTTCGGGGTAACGAGAGACCGGGGATCTTACTTGTGCGTTATTAACGTTTGTGATATGTATAGTAGTGACCTACCGCACTCCTTCCTGCGCCATTGCATGTACTTTATTTTTCACTCGTGATTAACCACGTGCGATGGTTTTTACAATTGTGTAATTTTTTTATTTCGTGGGTAATTGAGTGGGCGCATAGGTGAGAACCTGCATTCGTACATCTGGTTGAGTTTACGATCACTTGCAATAACGGTAAAACGGTGTGAAAATGAGATTGGGAAGCCAATTCTCTGCTAGGCGGAATACTATGCGACGCGCATTTTTCTTTTGCAATTGTTTTTTCGCCAATTGAATTTTTCTAATGAAACTGAAACCGGCGGAAAAATTTCAGGCTCATTTTAGTTTATTTGAAAGCATTTTATCATTCCCTGAGATACAAAATATATTTTTAATTTTTTTTAATTGAGCAATGACTTGAAAATATTTTTGCCCACATTTCTCTGAATGAAATCTTCCGCTTGCGATTCTCTCGTCAGTTTCAGATTCATATTTTTCGATTGATAATTCATCGGCATTCCAATGATGATACCTATAGAATTATGAAAAATAACACTAGCTCTCGATTTTTTTATAATTCTCGCTGCGTCTCTTCGCGGTAAATTGACACAGTTATGGCATAAAACCGGTCTGGAGTTATATTCCGGTTGCGAAGTATCTTTTTAACGTCCATAAACATCCGCACTTGGCTCCCTAAAGACAAATCCTCGCTAGAGAGAAAAAAACATACTCATGAATGAAATTATTAGTCCAGTGCCCGTGTAACAAAGCCCCAGAGTATTTAGCTTCCCTATCGTTTTGCGAGTTCAACTTCCTCTCTGTGGTTTCGTCTGTTTACTCTCTACATATTCATTTCCCCAAGATTGAGTCTCAAACTTCCGGTGTAATCGCCATTCGATTGTGAATGATGACTTGTGAATGGAATCAATGAATTAATAAAGTCCATGTTTCTGTATGGATTATCGTTCCTTCATTAGACATATTTTCTTCGGTTTTCGGGAGTTGGAGCTCTCACTAGAGATTATCTTCATTCCACATTTAACTCTTGGCACAGTTTAGAAAGTTTGTTGGTCGTGCAGAATTCACACCCGAGTTTTTGATGCTCCAGTGTTCTATTCCCTTTAGCAACTTTATTTCATTTAATTGTAATTTCATGCCCATGTGTAGTTATTCCGGGAAATATCCAGCACTTTTCTAATTAAAATTAAGATTCTAGAGGAATTATTTCTCATAATTTTTAATTAGAGACTGTATTCACGTCGTTTGAATAATTTGAAAACTTTCCAAAATGAAGCTTGTCTTTTGGGATTCCAACATTTATCTATTGAATTCGATATCATTGTCCCATTAATTCTTAAGCTGATAACATTCCAATGATCTCATGGAGTTTATGAAGCCAAACATTGTCAGTTTTTTTATTCCCTCTGGCAACTTTATTCCATTCAATTATTATTCCATGCCCATGAGTAGTTATTCCAGGAAGACATCCAGCACTTTTCTAATTAAAATTAAGATTCTAGAGGAATTATTTCTCATAATTTTTAATTAAACACTATTCACGTCTTTTTGAATAATTAAAAAACTTTTCGAAATGAAGCGTGTATTTTTCGCGATTCCAACATTTATCTATTGAACCCGACATCATTGTCCCATTAATTCTCCAACAAATAACATTCCAATGAATTCACAGAGTTTCTGCAGAAGCCAAGTTTTCCCTCATGGCATTTAACCACGTGCACGGAGAATAGTGAATCAACTTTGTCGAAACATTGTTTGTCTCCTCTTCTCTCTCTTGCCATATATGTGACCGCATTCAATGAATGAATGCTCCCCGCGCGGTTACAACGTGCCAAATAAATTCTTTCAGTATTTTCTGGTCTGTTTCATGCAGTCAATGATTCATTCCGTTCCAAAAATAATTCAATTCCCCTGAAAATTCGAAAAATCCGCTTTTCCAGTTATATATTCACTCGAATAATCCTCGAATATTTCCGGTGCAAGTAAATAATGTTTTACATTCGCAGTGCCAGACGAAATAAACGTGTTTAATACACCATCACTTCCTCCCTGCTTTTTTCGACGTAATAATGGTTTTTACGTGTAGTCTACATCCGCGTTATTATATACCTATTTCTGTATGTGGTAGCTATTGCATGTATCCATAATATTTCACCCCCTCTCACCCTCTGACATGTCCGACCCAACGGCGCCTCACGCTGACGCGGTGCAGACCTGCCGGCGACTCTTTCTCCCTCTCAATTCAGTTTTTTTTGCGTTTTTAATTTTTTTTACACTCTTTACTTCATTAAATTGCTATATGTACTCTCTTTCCCACTCGGGGGCGTCGATGCGCACCCCTTCAACAAGCTTAGCGTGCTCTGTCGGTCACGAAGGTTCTTTGAAATTATGAAAACATACCCTTTTTAGCATGAAGTTGAAACGAGCGAAAGATTCGCCAGCGGAAGACTCGATTTAGGCGAATTTAGGGGTGTACAAATATTTTTTGAGGATATTCAAGTATTTTGGCTATTTTTTTCCCAGTTAAATGCTTTTATGCTTCTTTAGTCGAACATTGGAGCTTTCATTTGAGCCCCATTTGACCCTAAATTTTCAGACATTTTACAATGATTTTATTATTTAAACTTTGCAGGTCTGAATTTGAATTTTGTCATTGAACCGTTGGACAACATTTTTAAAATCTGAAAAAATCGAATAGTCGAATAGTCCGTTAGTTTTATTTTAATCTTTTTAGTTGAAATTTTAAAATTATTGAATTGGAATTCTCCCGCTATATGAGAGGAATTCCCGTTGGTCGTCAATGGTTAATCCGTCTCCATTTTAATCCATAATCACCCGATATCCCTACACAATTTATCGATAACTCAATTAGCGCATCACAACGACTGTAATGAGGGCCTTTATATACACGAATTGATGATTTACAGTCGGTCGTGTAATTTGCACATGATTCATTCACTTCATTCATCCCAAAGCCTCAATAGCTCAATTGAAAACCATCCATTTACTCACTAGATAATTTCTGCGTGAAATTATTCAGAAGAAAATGTCCTCGAGCATCTCGAACACTTTTAACATGATTCCTTTTCCCCATTATTCCAGACCATTCGTACATCGTCAATTAGATTTAATTGAGCTGCTCATTCCAGCAGTCGCATTTTCTCCGTTTCATGTGTATTATCAGAACTTCCAACGAATGTATCATCCGATATATTTCATGAACACGGTGAATGACCTATTCAGTCTCGAGTAATTAGTTCTGTCAGTGCCAGAATTTAGTATATGGGGGGATAGAAATTTACCTGATACGTAATTTCAGCTTTTGCTGTATTATCCTCGCATCGGTTTTCTCATGGGATGAAAATATGACTAATTTAAAGTGAGTCAGATACTCTCGTCATTAATTTACGTTCAATAGGCCTTTATGCCATCATGCAATGAACAAAAATAAATTTCAATAATTTTTAATAAAATTTGTCTTTGAAAAATCGCAATTGAATGAAAAAAAAATTAAATTGAAAAGACGAAATAAGAATTGTAAAATGGAGTTCACTTTAATTCTGAATATTTATTTATAATTAAAATTTCAATTAAATCGTCAAAATCTGATATTTCATCATTCTTTTTCAATGTTAGATTAAAAAAGAAATTCACACATTTTGCATGGGCAACATAATTTGCAGATTACTTATTTTAGCCTGAGAATCACCCAATTGCTTCAGTCAAGAAAACGTGTTTTGCAAAAATTTTTCAACACACACTAAAAATTGCAAGAACGTGTCAACCATTTTCCCACCGACTTCGCAATCAAAATCCACTTCCAAACTCGTGAATGTATTTCAATCCTATCTGAACAATTTATCCACACCAATGCTAAGTTTCATATCTCCTTAACCGGTCGTCTTCCACGAAAGAATGAAATACCTGAGAAACCAGAATGAGTAAAACTAGGGCTCTCTTATACGGAAATCCACAATTTTCACGATTCCAGAGGCTGACAGAACGCCTGAAAAATCCAATAAATGAAGAACCGAGACTGAAAAAAAACATGATTGGTTCTAATGGCGCAGGGCACGAGTGGCTATATACTATACAAATGATGAGTCGAGGGTACTCCGGGCGACCCAATTAGCTTTGATCCATCAGGCCGGGTAATTCTTCTGCTATGCAGGCAGTACAAAAAATGAATGCCATTATGGCCAATAAATAAGACCAAGAAACCCATGAAAATCCCAGTGAATAAACTCCCCTGAATGTTATCTCCCCATTAACGCAAATCCGTTGATAATTTATCGATAATTTTCCGAGGAATTGTAACGTGAGAAACGCAGATTGATGTAATGCACAATCTGTCTCCCTCCAGTGAATGGTAAATGGCCATTGAGATGACTAATAAAAGTGCAAATTACACAATATCCAGTCACCAGATGTACATTGTCCACTGACATTGCGACAACAAACTCAACATTAATTCACCTTTGATTTGAAATTGACTCCTGCTAATGGAGAATGTAAAGATGTACGTGTGAGATTTTATTAAAGCGTTTAACATTTCTATTACAGACATCATGAAGAGAGAGGCAGAGGCCGGCCCCATGGCAGGCGGTGGAGGCCCAACAAATCCTCATAAGCGTTATCGCCAAGGCGACGACGAACTACGGCTTCTCATACCGAGCAAGGTAACACTGATGCATCTAGTGCCCACACGTGATAAGACTTGATTGATCGTCCAATTGGATCACAAGCCATTGCCTCGTGTCATTTATCGCAACAGCTACTCTCATTACGTATTAGCAAAAACAATCAGTAAAAAAATTAGTCTTGCAAAATGATGTATGAAAATCCCACGATGTAGATATCGTTGGGCATCTAGGACTCGCTCTGATTCACTTTTACCACAACGAATGTCCCCTCGTCAAGGACAATCCCCTAGATTACCCACGTCGCCGCGAGAAATGATCGCGATACATATCCACAAGCATAACTTGTTTACATACAACACGCAATCAGAGTTCCCCAAGATCCAATAACAAAATTGAATCGTACGAAGCTACGAAATTAAGGCACTTTTGTCCCCTTTTTTAAAACGTTTGTGTCCTGAAATTTATGGTATTTTTAGTGTCTCAAATTAAAACATGTTGTGCCTATGGAAAAACGGTTTATTTAAGACCTTTCGAGATTTCAGTCATGACGATTTTAGCCGATGAGATACATTTTTGTGCCTAATGTCTTCAATTAAGACATTTTAAAGGCGCTAGTGTTTAAAGTGGGTCACATAATTATAGAAGCAAACTTTTCAAGGGCACGTCACTTGAAAATGCCTGTACACTAATTATTGTTCAAGTCGTTTTTGACTATTGGTCAGTTTTCAACGAATATCTCGAAATCTAAGGCAGGTGGCAAAATTTTTCTCATAACCTTTATTGTAGCCCTCAATTTGCTCTATAAAAAAGGTCATTACTAAATTTTCGCTATTTCGTTAGATCCGGAGATATTCCGCAAAAACTTAGCTAAAAGCTAAGTCGACTGAATATAGCAACTTGATTGACCTAAATCGAATCTTTCGCTTGTGCCAGTTTCACAAAAATTGGTTATAATGAAAACAAAAAATGCGAGACGCCTCTGTGCACCGACATTCCAATGCATCTTGTAAGACTATCATTGTAGTCGTGGATTATAACAACAACATGTTTTATGGTGCAATAATTCGTGAGGCTTGTTGCTAGTTAAGGAGTCCAACACCTCTTCGCATCTCACTCGTGAGAGAAATAAAACGATGGGTGGGCCCTTTAAACTCTCGGCATAATACCTTTTGCATAATCTTCGAGGATAACCTGTCCCAGAAGGAGTGGCTTTTGTGTAATACTCTTGGCATTACTATTTGCATTTTGAGGAATTCATTATCGGGGACTAGTTCGTGATAATGAGACGATGGGACGGTACTTAATTAATGTATATGGCTAATTAGTTTTCTAATTGAGTATCCCTGAGTAGCTTTTTTTTTTAAATTAAGCAGAATAGATTGAATCACCACCGGACGCTTCAGTTATGCGTATGCATTCAATTTCACTCTCACGACACGGTGAATTGAGTCGTCAATGAACCACGAAGAACATCCATTTTCTTCTCCACTCATTTTGTTGCTTGCGATAGAATCTCCATTGCGATTAATTCATTTCTCAAATTTTTGCTTCCGAATGGAAGTTTTATAATCGTTGTAATTTAAATTTTGGATTTTTTGGGTTATATGGACTAATGCATGGATGGAATAGAATCTTTTTTAACAATTTCGAATTTTTAAATTTTCAAATTCACGCAATACAAGAGCAATTTCCCACTTGTTTTGTACTCATTTTTCTATTATTTTGAATTTCACTTGTCGTATTTTTCTTTTAGGTGGCCGGCTCAATCATTGGAAAAGGCGGCCAAAACATCACAAAACTGCGCAGTCAGGTGAGATATCTAGACTTTAGGTTGTGACATTTGAGTTGAAGATTTTCAGCTTCAGATTATCAGGCTCTCATTTCTCTTGGATTTTTCGCATTTTTCCACAGATAATTTCATTGTCAATTATATCAATCAGTTTTTAACCACTTGGCAGCCCTGAAAAACCATCCACACGTTAAGCTTATATTAGGCGACGTCAAGACATGAATTTCGAATTATCGAGGAATTTTTCCTCATTCAATTGAAATCGAAATCAGGCGGTGGATAATGGGGAAAAATGAGATTGTCTCGATCTTCCTTTTGCATTAATCAAAATGTCTTATGATGATGACTGCTTTGATGGTTCTTCAATCGTAAGAGTAAGATCGAGACATTTGGGAAATGAATGATGCCCATGCCCTCGTCATGTAAAAACTACGTTATCTTCCTCAAAGATTTTTCAGCTTCAGATTAGGCTCTGATTCCTCTTGAATTCATTCTGCCTTTTCAAGAGATGATTTCATCAATAATAATGATCAGTTTTGACGCCTTCATGCCCTAAAAATAATCCAATTGCCATGATACTTAAATTAGGCGAGGTGAAGACGTGAATTTGGAAAAATCAAAGAATTTTTCTTCATTCAAAAGGAAAAATTACCAATTAAATGGAAATTAGGGGGGGAAAATTACCTCGTCTCGATCTTCCTTGAAAAGTACAACAGTGATGAATTTCATCTTCATTTTGCACTTATCCGATAAATTCAACTTCACAAAACGTTTAACAAGGAATTGGACTATCTCGTGCCCAAATACTTTGGTAATTCTTCAACAATTTTTAGCTGAAATTTCCGGTAGAATTCTTGGACATTTATATCATATAGTTTTACGGAAATTCAAAAAAAAAATCGACGGAAACTGTCAATTTCAGTTCAGTTATTCCATGAAAATGACTAGAAATCAGGAAAATTCAGGTAAATATATGCTTAAAGTTCCAATTAATGAAAAATTCATCGTACTTTCATACTGAATATTCATGTTTGCATTGAAATCTTAAATTTTATAATTTTTCCCCCTTAAATTCAAACTCAATGTCATTCTTTCGAAAATTCCAAGTCATATAAAATTCATGAAATTTCATTTTTTTCCAACAATGTTCTCATTCTTATTTCATAAATTTCACAAAACGTTCGACAACGCTGTTGAAAAATTTTGTTCGTAATTTCCGTTAGAATTCTTGAAAATTTTTATCGCATAATTTCACTGAAATTTCATGATTTTTTCCCTTAAATCGAATTTAACGTCAATTTCCTAAAATTGCAGTTCTTGAAATTCACGAAATTTCAATGTCTCTCCAACAATGTAAGATCGAGAGCCCCTGCAATATAAAATAATATCCATACCCTCATAAAAAGCTACGATATCTTCCTCGCGAACGTAAACGTACCCCATATTATAGTAAATCTGAATCAAGGGGGGACGTGATAGACAACTTAATATTAAAAATAAAAAAAGAAAGCAAATGAGGTTCTAACTTGGTTGATGGTTTGTGCCCTGGCCCCGCCCCGACCCCGGCGTTGCCCCCATTGGTGTTGCCCCGGCGTTATCCTGGCTGTTGTTGCCAAATGCCGGTTGCCCTGCCCGGAACGATGGAACCCGACGCGCAATCCGGCTATTGTGTGGACCACCAATCACCCCGAACCAACAATCGACATCAACCAACCAACCACCAATGAATCACCACCAACTACCACGGCCCAACAGTACAAAGCCTCAATCATTGTACCCGATTGCCCCGGACCCGAACGGTAATGCCAAACACCACTACTTAATGTCTTAATACTCTTCTTTGTCTCTAATTACAAGAAAAAAGAAAAATATTACAAACAACGCAGGATTTTATTTTTTAAAAGATTTTCAAACTAATTATTTTACTGTCTTCACTCAGCATTATTCAAACCATCGATTATTATTTTTATTACTACTGTTACTGTCATATTTTTTAAATCTCTTGTCATCGGTATTCGTCATTGGTGTTGTTATCATTTATTCTTGTTAAAATCACAAGTTTAATCATCAATTGATCTCTCATCCGTTCACTATCATGCGGATTAATTCACCTCACCAATTGTAATTAACTCTCATGCTCGATGGTATACTTAATAATCAATTATTTCTTTATTCATCAGAGATACTTTTTTATCATCAAGTCGGATATTTATCGAAATATTGAATTGGCCCTTGCATTAGATCCTGATAAATCTGGTAATTGCACTTATCTCCAATTATCGGTGAAAAATATTTTGTCCAGTTCTGGGAGGATTACACCTACCCTACCCCTTGTGTGTCTCCACATACGAAATAATTTTACAGAAAAATCGAGGGAATTTATTCGTTTTTGGACGACGCTATTGAAAAATTGCGCAGCTCTTCTGCGCATTTGTCTTCAATGTGAAATATTCTATAGAAAAAATCAATGAAATGCCATTTTTCTAAGATATTTTCTATTTTAAAAAACAGTAAAAGCTGCGAATCGGCCAAAAACTAATAGAATTTTCCAGCGAATTCGCTAGACTTTTCTAAAAAAAATTTCATGTCTTCATTCATTTTTAGATATATTCTTCTCTATTCACTACAACTTTCTTTCCTCTAATCGTTTATTTTTCATGTTTAACCCTGGCCAAAGAGTTTACGAAATTAAGAATCGGTGACCAATTTTTTACAGATTCAGTGCATAATTATAAGATATTCACCAAAAAGTCCCGAGAAGAAATAAAAAATCTTGTCTCCCTCCATCGTCCACCAATCCCAGACAATTATTTTGAAACGGAGTTTCTTTTCAATACCACATAATGAATTATTCCTCCTGTAGCTTAAGTTAATAATTCCCAGGAATTAAAGCCATTATTTCACCATTGACGAAAGGACCACGAAGAAAATACAATTGACTATCACTGGTTATGCTAACCGCATCTCTCCTCAATAATCTACGAGCAACGCCCGCCCTCGTTTCTAATTTTGAAACATCACTCAACGAACCAGCCCAAAGCACTATCTCCACGAATTTCACTTCAAATGAGTTGTAAACAGCCGCAATTGTTTGTCAATAGTCTATAGAAATAGGAGAAATGGTGATAGATCCCATGAGTAGTTCGGTAATTCAGAAAGAAAACTGAATAATTAAATGTTACGAACAATTATCAACACTTGCCCATCACCACCGGCACATAATGAGTGACTGAATAGGGGAGGGTGGGGCAAAATGGACACTACTTTTCTCTCAATCTGAATAACTTATAAATAGATTGATCCATCGAGTTCAGTTTAGACTCATCACGAAAAGGAAATGATTGTCTTTAAAAATATAACTTCAGTGCGTTATTGAGATTTTAAAAAAAAGTACCAAGTCTCCATTTTGCCCCACTGGCCCCTACGCTCCTATCGAGGACGTGACTGGTTCATCAGAGGATACTCATGCAAAATGACCAAATGATAATTGCAATCCTTTATTATGTTACCTGACAGCAAAGGCTAGTTAGCTTAGTGTTTAATATTTTAACGTTACGAATTTAATATCACGAATGTTTACGTGAAATACAGTTAATATATTTGTGTGCATTCAAGGCTTATGTTGGGAAAATATATCAAGAGATGTCAGTCACGAGGATTATTCGAATATCATTTTAACTGAAATTTATTGAATTTTATAATGTAACTATTACCAATCGTCGAGTTTTTTTGATTATAGGGTCCTGACAATCAGCTCAGATTTGGATACTGTTCTGCAGGTGGTTAACAAGGTTGTACCGAATCTTGAAGAGGTGAGGACAATAGAATTTTTGCGCTGTGTCATACGATGAGAATGCGGTTTAATTATTATTGATTTATTCACAGAATGGATCGAAGCATGGCAATGACGAGATTGATGTTCGTATGCTGGTGCATCAGAGCCAGGCTGGATGCGTCATTGGGAAAGGAGGACTTAAGATCAAGGAGCTTCGCGAGGTAAGTCTCGTGTTCTTGTTCATTTATCATTGAGAAGACGTCATTGTGAGACACAAATTAGAGAGACTTTTGTTGGGACTCTTCTTTGATTGGCAATAACTCGAGAACGGCAGAGTGAAATTTCACTCTTTTATTTTCATTTTCGAGGCTATTTTTCAAACTTTGAAATGAGATGTGATTCAGCTAAATCGGATCATTTGGTCGGGAGATATCGATTAAATACGGCTCCTTTTGCGAAAAATGAAAGTTTTAGAAAATTTTATATTTTATGGTTGAAACTACCGTCAGATTTTAATTTACTGCTGAATATTTGCATTCATTTCTCTGTTACTTCGACATAATCGTCGGATTTTCGCTATTGATTTATCGTCGGGAAGACATGAGTAAGACATTAGTAAGACGATTAAACAAGTGTAAAAGTTAAGACTCTTGTTCAATCGTCAATAGTTTGAGAACCTCACAGTGAAATTTTCCAATTTTTTTTTCTATTTTCAAGATAATTTTTCAAGCTTCGAAATGGGATGTGACTCGCCCAAGTCGTGTCATTTGATCATTGCCCTTTCTCTACATTAAAATGTAAAATTCTAGAAAATTTTACATTCTCCTTTTGAGACGAAAATTTTATGCTTTGAAGAACCAATACTCAGAGTCCATTAGCGTCACCATCAAGCATTCTAATGAATTTATCCCCATCACATCGACATAATTCTCAAATTTTCTCAATCCATCAACAATCGAATCGTGAAAACGTAATATTGAGACCCAAAACGAGTAGACAGATGAGCTGAGTCGACACGTCACAGACCTCGTTTGGTGTATGAACCCAAAAAAGACGTGGCACCACCACTCACCGACGTCCCCGACAAACCGCTTTATTTCGATTCGAGGTCGTGTCACGGGGTGACTTTATTGATTCCACTCACGGCACTCTTGTGCTATGCATCCTCTCCTGCACAACCTGATTCCATTTCTCAGTATAATCAAAAATTCCTGGCATAAATCAACACACTGAATGACGATTAAAGGCATCACCCACTGATATTGCAACGTTTACTGTACAATCAGTCTATCCCAATAACTGCAGGTGACTCATTTATTCACAATTACAACCAGAAATTCATCATAAATTTACGAATGCGAGGGAGAATTTAGTTCAGAACTTCCTGTCTCGAAAGAACAAAAGGGAAAAAGTTTGAGTACGCAAAACTTCAATATCAGTGGCGTAACTTCCTGTTCATTGAACCGTAATTTCCATCTGTCAATACCATCGATTCTCAATGTCATGAGAAAACACGTAACGTTCATTTCCTTTATTTCGCGTTTTTTTTTTTCCATTGTACTCTCGATTTCGACAGAGTATGAAACCGAGGCACATGGTGTTTCTGCCTTTCACAAATTGCTCCATATGACATCCTCAATTACCTCTGGTACACGCAAATTAATAATAGTGTATTTATTACCCCCATATGTTTGAAAATGAAACCACACTCGTGAGGTGGAGGTGAATGGGCTAGATCCATTAATAGAATTGACAACGGATAAATGAAGGTGTTGCTATGTACAATTTCACGAGAATGTGCGATACTGGGTCAATAGTTGCAGATAATTTTGACGTTGAGATTATCGATTCTGATGGAGGAATGACGACAAAATAGTCCAACGAATTTCCGAGATTCTTCTGAGGAGGGGAAAATTCATTGGGAATTGTCAGAAGGAAAGCCACATTTCCCTCCCTCTCTGAATTTTCGTCTGTCTCATTTCCTTGGTGAGTTCCTCTTTGGCGACATGTGTTGCTATGGGGGTTTGGCCTGGGCATCACGCAAACCAAACAGGTGCTGCTTCAGGTAACGGACGCCCGGCATAAACAGCTGCCACGCCAGGTGTACCAGACATCTACACGGCCCTTCTTTCTCATGATTTTTCTCTATGGGATATTTCTTTTTACAGTGATCCTCGATGCCTTTTCAGCTTTCTGCTTGCCTTTAAATTTTCTTCAAGTGAATATTTCATAAGTCCTGGATGAAATAAAGAAATACTCTTAATATTTGGAAAATAATTAGTGAACGGTATCCACGACTTCATGAAATTATCACTATTTAGTCGATGGAATTTGTTGTAGAAATAAAAAGAATGTAGATGGAGGGGTTTAAGGATATTTATCATGAGATAGTAACATTTCTGATAATTATGAAGAATTTGTGGCAGCAGCTTTCACAAAATTAAATCAACAATTTTTTTATACATGGGTTCTCATGGGATTTATTTTCAAATTGATAATTCAACTACTGGAAACCCTAAAAATGGAAACAAAAATTGAGGGCAATGTCGAAAAAATATTCTGAATCTAATGGTTAAAAGATAATCCGGGGTATCGAGGTAAATAATTCAGATATTTAAAACTATTTGACTTCTGAATAGTCAATTCCGGTTAATGAATTGAAATTGTTATCGGTATAAAGGAAAACTGTTCATCAGTTGAAAAAAAATCAATTTTTTTTCGAATTCCTTCGATTTTTGATGAACATCCTCAATCCCGTATGAGAAACGAAAAGAAAAAAATGAATTTAGCGCGTCCTGCCGTACGTTAGTGAAAATTCGCCTTCACTCTTACCCCCTCCATATGACCGGAAATGAGGGAAGAAGGGTCTTAGGTACCGGAGTGAGTATATATGGAATTGGTTTCTTGTAGGTTTTTTGAGCCTACTGGCATCAGTTGATTTTCGACCGTCCGTCCGATCAGTTCATTTCGCCTCTCAACCCCTGGATTTCAGTTGATCATTTCACAATGTATCGTTACATCAGTTCATTGAACAGTCATTATTTACCCCATAACTTTGTGAAGATTTTGCGAATTATTTGAGTGGAGTTCATCGAGTGCTGCAATGTAAGCTTTTTATTAATTCTATGGTTCAACGTTATTCAAAGTAATTCGTCTGAATTAAATTTACCGTAGAATATTTTAATTAATTTTTCTAGTATTCTTCTATAACTCGAGAACCTCACAGTGAAATTTCCCAATTTTTTTATTTTCGAGGTAATTTCTTAAACTTTGAAATAAGATATGACTGATGAAAAATAGTTCGATTTAGCCCACTCCAGCTTCTACATTTCTGTATTCTTACTATTCCTTTTAAATCAGAGTTATAGAATACTATTCGTGTTATCATTATTTTTCAACATTATCTCAACTCATGATTTCGAGGTTTCATTCTACATGAAATAACCATGGCACGTTGTTAAATTCTTTCGCTCCAATTGCCCGCGGCAAATCGTCATCCCTCGAGTGGGTTCATGCCACAATTAATGCAAACCCAGGGTTCAATTACCAAGAACAGAGTGCTAGTCCACTCGACCTTTTAAAAACGTGTTATTCTCTTTTTTCCACGTCGACCACAAAAACACTTGTCTTCATACATCCAAGATGCTACAACAATGATAAAGAAAAATATCTTGTGTAAATTTGTAATGATATTTATTCGTTCTCTCCATTAAATTATAACGTTAAAAAAAATCATCAGTAAGAAACTACTGAAGAAATTTATCTGCAAATTCAATTCATAAATTTATTAATTCTAGCTGTTGAATACAGGAATGTGAGACCATAAACCGATAATAAGTCGTCCTTTCTACGTTCGAAGAAAGAGTTAACAATGATAAAGAAAAATGTCTCATATAAATTTCTAATGAGATTTATTCGTTCTTTCCATCAAATTATAATGTAAAAAAATTCATCAGTACGAACCTGCTGAAGAAAATTAATCTGCAAATTCAATTCATAAATTTGTTAATTCTAGCTGTTGAATACAGGAATGTGAGACTTGAGAGTTGGAATCTTTCCTCTTTAATCACCGGAATAAATTACGCACTCTGTAGCCACCAGAAACCGATAATAAGTGCTATGATTCCCACGACATAGAGGTAAAAATTGTCGGATGAATTTGCCTCATCTTTTTTCGCTTGGCCAGCGACCCATCCCTGTTTCGGTACACTATTTGTCCTCTCCTCCGCGACTATTTCCCCGACTAAATACTTCTTCATTATCTCCATAGCGTCAGTGGAATGTCCAACGTCATCGAAATCCTCGGATGCATCCTTTCCATGGTGATCGAGCAACACCTCCTCACCACCAGGATGTTCATTCAAAAATAGTGTGACATCGTAAACTTTATCATGAATTATGAATCTCGTTTTCTTTGACTCGGTTTCCTTAATTTCAGACCTCTTGAACTGCTTCAGCTCCGCCATTTCCACTCAGTCAAACCTTGAAATTACAACAATTTTCCATTAATTAAAATTCCTAATTACACTCCTCATTAGTGGCTACCGATAATACTAATGAAGTTGTGACGTGAATTTTCGTCCTCCCCTAATCAAGTCGCCCTTCGCCACGTCACAGAATGAAAAAATTCAAATTTAAATCGAACGATTTTCGACGCCGGCAGCGCTAACTCACGTTCTATTCGCAAACTGGCCATTCAAGCGGTCCTTCAATTACATAACTCGCCAGTTGTCTATTACCACTGATTACGCTGAACTGAATTTCATAAATCCCAATTGAATCCACAACCACTCAATTCACTCAAAATTCGCGCCCCAGGGAAATCCTAAATAACGTTAACATTTTTCCCACTTGACAACAAATTCTTTGGACTCATTAACTCTTAAACTATCATCAATTGATTGCACAATCACAGGATGACTTTCAGTCCTCCCTTATCCGCAGTAATCAACATAGCGTCTAGCATTTTCAATTAAACATAATAATATCCATTAATGTCGCGATATAAACACCATTCGACGCGTAAAGGATCCTTCGTTGATATTTTTTATCCGATATTCCCATGAGGCGATGTTCAAGGTTGAAATAACTCAAACTTGCTATGCAAAAACGAGTGCTCGAGGCGAGAAAGACAGAGAGGGGCGCACCTTGCCCTCTCTCCCTCCTTCCCCCCCGCCGACATTTCTTCTTCATTTCATTGTCCTCACGACACGTGGCTCGTTCTCCATGTACCTCAGCCACTAATGAATATTCCCAAAATGGTTTCAATCGAGTACATTTCGAACTCTCTCTCTCTCTCTCTCTCTCTCTCTCTCTCTCTCTCTCTCTCTCT